TCGTAGCAGCCCGGTTAAGAAAAGAAGAGAAGGGAGAGACCTGTGATCGCGCGTCCTTTTCTCTCGGCTCTCTCGAACCGGCGTGCCCTCGCAGAGTTCGTTTCCGCTTGTCGTTCGATACTCGTCGTTTGTGTGATACTCTCTAAACACGTCGTGCTCAGGACGGACTCACGGCCGCGCGGCACGTCGAGCACCGGTTTTCGAAATTCCCGCGTCGGCCGTATCGGCCGCCTAACCTCTCCTTGGTCCGTGACTCGAGACGGACACACCTCTCGTGTTAAGTCGCCGAACGACGAAGACAGGGAAGACGGTGGCCGTCGCTCGGCCAGCAATAATGCCGCACGTGAGCAGCAGCGGCGGCGGCGACGATCTCGGCAGCGAAGACGAGGTCAAGGTCTTCAAGGATGAGGGCGAGGACGAGAAGAGGTCCTCCGAGAACCTCACGGAGGAGAAGAGTTCCCTTATCGACCTCACGGAGTCTGAGGTGCGTCTTGACTAGTGATTACTAGAAAATTCCACGCAACCCTGTTTCTCTCCTATCCGTACAACAGATACACGGCTGTCGTTATTTACAGTTTTCAAGTGTGCATGACCACAACGTGTCGCTTTCTTTTTTTCTCTCTCTCTCTCTCTCTCTCTCTCCTCTTTCTCCCTGTCTCATCGCCACTGTGTGCGCAACAGTATCGGACGCGTTTCTTCTTCTTTCCTCCACCCACTCGATCGTGACAGCCTAAGGACGTCGCCATTAAGTGCATGCGTGTGTTTGCAGGAAAAGGGTTCGCTCGCCGGTGGAAGTTACGCGACGACCGGCAAGACGTCAGCAAGATCCGATCTCAGTCCTGTTTTCGGTGAGTCCTCATTGCTTTCTTTCTTTCTTTCTTTCTTTCTTTCTTTCTTTCTTTCTCTATTAACGACACTGAGGAAAAACTGTAAAAGTTTTTCTTCACTTTAATCTAAAATCTTCTCGAGATGAAAATCGGACGAATATTCTGTGACAAATTTCCCAACGATCTTGAACATTGTGATTCAGTAAGGAAACTTTAGAAAACAAACGTCGGGGAAAGTAGCAGATTACAAAACGTATATCACGTCAGAGTGAAAGGAACACCTGGTAAAGTCATGTTATCAAATCGCTGATTTCAGAAACTTTGGTTAATGCAAAACGAAGACAGAAGCCGGCAAATATCAAGTGCCTGCCGTGTATATACATTATACATATTACTAGCTCCTACTAACAGCCGTTTAAATTCCATTCTAAATTCATTTACTTTAAATTAATATACGTATGTACATACGTACACGTTCAATCAGTAAATGAATGAAATTTGCTAAACGAGTACATTCGCTCTGACATGTATGCACGAATATATATATATATAATATATATATATGTGTGTGTATATATATTATATATATATATGTGTGTGTGTACACAGATACATACACGTACGTGCTCGTGCACACGCGCGTACGTAGCCAACCTCGCTCGTATTATCCAATCTCGTCTAAATCAAAACATTGCGTAAACACATTCGAACACGTACAAAAATGGTGAATTGCCACGAAGAACGAATTAGGAACAAAGGATGATTGATGGCGAACGCGACACGGTCGAAAGTCGTCGCACGTTATTCGTTCCCGTCGGAAGTTTATCGCTCGTAGTCTCTCTCTCTTTCTCTCTCTCTCTCTCGCCTATGAAATCTGATAACGTGTTATGATATTTTATGCGTGCCGCGGGGTCAGGACCCTGATTCATATAAATTAACATCATTGTTGATGGTTATCTTACGATCTAGTAACGTAATCTACTCGTAGCAAATCGCTCTTATATCCTAATGATAATTTAGACGCCTCTCTCTCTCTCTCTCTCTCTCTCTCTTTCTCATCGCCGACGCGACAGACGTCGTCGTTGAGATC